GAGGGGGCGGCTGCTGGGCGGGGGCGGCCCCTCCCTCACTGCCGCATGCACCTGGGGCAGGTACGGGGTCAGGGGGCACCCGGGCACCTGGGGGCACCTGGGGGGCACCTGGGGGCACTTAGGGACACCTGGGACAGGTACGAGCACCTGGGGGGCACCTGGGGACATCTGGGGACACCCAGGGGGCACCTGAGGAGCAGGGTAGGTTTGGGACCAGCTCCGGGGCAGCTTTGGGGCAGTTTTAGGGAAATTCTGGGGCACTTTTAGGGCAGTTTTGGATCAAATCTGGGGCACTTTTAGGAGCACTTTTAGGGCAGTTTTAGAGTCAATTCTGGGGTATTTTTTGGGACAATTCTGGGGCAGTTTTAGGGCACTTCGGGGTCACTTTTAGGGCAATTTTAGGGCAGTTTTAGGGTCAGTTCTGGGTTAATTTTAGGGCAGTTCTGGGGCACTTTTAGGGCAGCTTTTGATCAATTTTAGGGTCAGTTCTGGGTTAATTTTAGGGCAGTTTTGGATCAATTCTGGGGCATTTTTTCAGGACATTTCTGGGTTAATTTTAGGGCAGTTCCGAGGCTCCGCCCCCCGCGGGCAGGGCGGGTGATGTCACCATCACGTGGTGCGGAAGTGGGCGGTACTTCACGCACACCCCGCCCCCTCGGCCCACGCCCCGCCCCCTCACCGATGACGCGACGCTCTCCAGGAACCGGCCAATCACAGCGCGCCTCTCGCCTGGCAGCCAATCATCGCTCCCTTCCGGCTCTGGCTCAGCCTGGGGGCGACCAATGGAGAGAGGGGTCAGCCTGGTGCCGGCCAATGGGAAGAGGGGAGGGCGGGGCGAGGGCGGGGCGAGAGCGGGGCCCCGCCCCCTGCGGGGCTGGATGGGGAAAAGCCTTGGGGACATTTGGGGACATTTGGGGACATTTGGGGACAGGGGGGCAGGGCCTTCCCCCGCCCCCGCTGTGACGTCATGGCCACAGCTCGGGGAGAGTGTCGGGGCCTTCCCGTGACGTCACGGCTGGGGGCGTGGCCAAGGGGACCCCGCGACGCCCACGGGGAGCGGGAAGGGGACGGCGACACTCGGGGACAGGGTGACACCGGGACAGGGTGACACAGGGACATGGTGTCACTGGGACAGCGTGACAATGGGACAGGGGGTGACAGGGACAGGGTGACACCGGGACAGGGTGACAGTGGGACAGGGTGACAGTGGGACAGGGTGACACCGGGACAGGGTGACACAGGGACAGGGTGACACTGGGACAGGGTGACAGGGACAGGGTGACACCCCCAGGGTGACACGCAAGGGACACGTGACCCCAAACACGAGTGACCAGAGTGACCAACAGTGACCCACGGTCACCAGTGACCCCAAACATGCATGACCACAACCATGAGTGACCAACAGCCAGAGTGACCAATAACCAGAGTGACCACGGCCAGAGTGACCAACAGCCACAGTGACCAACAGCCAGAGTGACCCATGGCCAGAGTGATTCACAGCCATGAGTGACCCACGGCCAGAGTGACCAAAAGCAGTGACCAATATCCAGAGTGACCCAGGGCCAGAGTGACCCCTGGTCACACACACATGACCAACAGCCAGAGTGACCAATAACCAGTGACCAACAGCCAGAGTGACCCATGGCCAGAGTGATTCACAGCCATGAGTGACCCACGGCCAGAGTGACCAAAAGCAGTGACCAATATCCAGAGTGACCCAGGGCCAGAGTGACCCCTGGTCACACCCATGTGACCCACAGCCAGAATGACCAATAACCAGTGACCAACAGCAGAGTGACCCAGGGTCAGTGACCCATGGCCAGACTGACCCACAACCAGTGACCAACAGCCAGTGACCAATAATCAGAATGACCAACAACCAGAGTGACCAACAACCAGAGTGACCAATAACCAGAGTGACCAATAACTAGAGTGACCCACAACCACAATGACCCACAACCACAATGACCCACAGCCAGAGTGACCAATAACCAGTGACAAACAACCAGAGTGACCAACAGAGTGACCCCTGGTCACCAGTGACCCACAGCCAGAGTGACCCCTGGTCACACACACGTGACCCACGGCCAATAACCAGAGTGACCCACAGCCAGAGTGACCCCTGGTCACACACACATGACCCACGGCCAATAACCAGAGTGACCAACAGTCAGAGTGACCAATAACCAGCCTGACCAATAATCAGTGACCCCCCCAGCTAGAGTGACCCATAGCCAGAGTGACCAATAACCAGTGACCAACAACCAGAGTGACCAACAACCAGAGTGACCAACAGAGTGACCCCTGGTCACCAGTGACCCACAGCCAGAGTGACCCCTGGTCACACACACGTGACCCACGGCCAATAACCAGAGTGACCCACAGCCAGAGTGACCACTAACCAGTGACCCACAGTGACCAGCGCCCCCCGGCCAGGCTGACCCCCCCCCAGTCACAGCCTGTGACCCGCGGTCACACAGTCCCCGTCCCACCCCCTCCCCCACCCCACTGACCCCCTCCC